ATTCAGGGGATAGTGAGCCTATGGCAATAGCTATGGAAGTGGCTTGCCCGGTGGTGTATACTCCTCTGGACGGGGGTGGATTACAGGCAGCAATTACTGCCCTAGACTGGAAACTGTTGTCGCAGTTGCGGTCCACAGTTGGTCAATTTGGGGTGACCGGTGAGCCCACAAAGCAAATACTTGACTATATTTGGGGGAGCCAGGTGTTATTGCCAGCCGATTGTAGAGGAATTGCAAAGCTTATTTTTACTCAACATCAGCAGCTTCTTTTTAATGCACATTGGCAAACACTCTGCCAGGAGTGTGTAGCAGTGGTACGGCAACCAGGTGACCCTTTACATGGGGTAACCTTAGATGAATTATTGGGTATAGGGGCTTTTGCCCAAACAGAAGCACAAGCGTTAATCGGTCCTGATAAATGTTGAGAGGCTATGCGACTGGTGAGGCTAGCTATAGACAGGATAAAAGAACCAGGCAGGGTTCCCTCATACATGGGTATAAAGCAAGGAAGAGATGAATCATTTAGATCTTTTATAGATAGGGTGGCCACTGCTATCGAGCGAGCTGGCGTGGCAGATTTCATGAAAGGGGCCTTTCTCAAACAGTGTGCTATTCAAAATAGCAACCAGGCTACGAAAGATGTGTTAAATACCCTAGGAGCTAATTGGACTATAGAAGAAGCTTTAGAACGCATGGCAAATGTGCCCGTAGGGAGTCAGGTGATGTTAGTAGAAGCTATTTAAGAGCTAGGGGCAGGATTGAAGGAGCAGGCAGCAGCATCGCAGAGCCAAATCCTAGCCGCCCTTGCACCCCTACAAGCAGCAGCAATAAATAGTCCGTGATCTCCATCTACTGGCCAAGTTAAATGTTACCGGTGCGGAGGCATGGGACATACCCGGCTAACCTGTCAAGCAGCTACCGTCTGGTGCCACAGTTGTTGCTCGGACACCCACAACACCAGAACTTGCTGATGCTGCTCGGGAAACATGAAGCCCAGCGCGCCCAACAGCTGCCGTGCCCAGACACAAGTAGCAGCTGTCAACACCTCAGCCCAGCCCCCCTTCAACCAGCTACCGCCGGCAGCCTCGGGCTGGACGTGGCAGCCTCAGTAGCAGTAACATTGATGACCACCCAATCGGAAAAGGTCCCGATTGGAATAAAGGGACCAATCATCATTGATGGACAACTTATGAGAGCTTTGCTTCTAAGACGATCATCAGCCACCATGATGGGATTATTTTTTTTAACAGGGGCAATAGACGTGGATTTTACTGGGGAAATTTGTGTTATGGTACATACTCCTTTTCCACCGATACGAATCGAGAAAGGACAGAGGATAGCTCAATTAGTTCCATTGGAACAAATGACTAAAATATTACCCCCTCATCAGTCACAGTCCAGGGGGGAACAGGGCTTTGGCTCCACTGGAGGACTTACTCTGTTATCAATGAACTTAAGCGATCGGCCAAAACGTGCTTTATTGATAGAGTATCAGGGTGACAGGCAAACCTTGGAAGGTTTATTAGATACTGGCGCAGACTCCAGCATTATCAGCCCAGATTGCTGGCCCCACAACTGGCCATTACAGCCAACCACAGTAGCAGTTACTGGGGTTGGAGGCTTAACGCTTGAAAGAAAATCACCCATGTTATCGGTAACTATCGACAACAAAATTTTACAGAGTGTTCTCTCAGTTGTGCCTTTGCCTCCTACTGTGCAGTGCCTCATTGGTTGGGACATTTTGGCTCAAATGGGGGTAGTGCTGACAAATGAGTACCCTTTGGCTAATGGCCATTGCGTGGACTTTCCCAATCCCACTCATTTGGAACACGGACACACCAGTGTGGGTTAAGCAATGGCCATTAAAAAGGGAAAGTCTGGAACAAGCACATGTACTAGTACAAGAACAATATGAGCAGGGTCATTTACAGTTGTCAGTAAGCCCATGGAATACCCCTATTTTTGTTATTAAAAAGAAGTTGGGAAAGTATAGTTTGCTACAGGATTTACGGGCTGTAAATGAACAAATGGAGCCTATGGGAGCTTTACAACCAGATTTGCCAAAGGACTGGCCACTGTTAATTGTGGATCATAAGGACTGCTTTTTTACTATTGCTCTTCACCCTCAAGACACTCCGGAGGTTTGCATTTACCTTACCGGTTTTAAATAGGGAAGAAGAACCAGACAAGAGATTTGAATGGGTTACTCTCCCACTGGGAATGCGCAACAGCGCCCCCTTGTGTCAGCTGTATGTTGACAATGCTTTACAACCTTTGCGACAGGCCTGGGCCAAAACAACCATTTATCATTACATGGATGATATTTTATTTGCGCAGCCGCAACCTTTTACAGGTCAACAAATTCAAGAAATACATAAGGCCCTGGAACTACATGGCTTGGTTGTAGCTCCTGAAAAAATTCAATTATCTGCACCCTGGAAATATTTGGGATGGACTGATCAGGTTGTTACCCCCCAGAAATTGCAGCTGAATATTAAAATACATACATTGCATGATGCTCAAAAGTTACTTGGTGATCTGCAATGGCTGCACCCTTTTGTGCAAATGAGTTGTTAGATGAACTTCGACCTTTACTAAAAGGGACTGACCCAGCACAACCCGTCCATATAACCTCTGAGCAGGTTAAGACACTTCAGCAGATATTGGACTGTGTGACACAGGGCAGTGTCCGGAGACGAGATCTTAACCTCCCCATACAGCTGACAGTTTGCTGTGGAACTAAATTTTTACTGGGTGCACTTTTTCAGCAAAACAGAAAAATGGGGGAGGTGTGGGTCTTAGAATGGATATCTCCTCCACTTCAACAGCATAAAACCCTTCTTCAAAAAATCGAAATTTTGGCTGACCTGCTTAAGAAGGGTCATGAACAGGCATTACAAATTACGGGAAAGGAGCCTGATCAGACACGGATACCAATGAAGAAAGATACTTTGACCTGGTACCTGATAAACAGTATGGAATTACAAGAGGCCCTGCTGGGAGCTGGAAGCGTGATTGCCACTGATGATATTCCCAATATACCATTGAACTGGGTAGGGCAGTGGGGTTGGATTCAATGCCCAAAAAGATTACAGAAGCCCCTGTCGGATGCTATAACAGCCTACACGCATGCAGGAAGAAAATCAAGAACTGCTGCAGTGACCTGGCAGGAAAAGGGACAATGGCACCATCAAATTCTCCAGGCTTCCAAGTTGGATACTTTACAAACAATGGAGCTATTGGCTGTTGTATGGGCCATGATGCATTTTTCGGGGCCCCTCAACATAGTGACAGATTCTTTGTATGTTGCAGGAGTGTGCGAGCAAATACAGGATGCCTCTATAAAAGAGGTTCAAAACAGGAGGTTACATGAGCTGTTTATTCAGTTACAGAGGGCAATTAGGCTGAGAAAACATCCCTTTTCTCTTATCCATATCAGAAGTCACAAATGGGATATTGGTCTGGGAGAGGGTAATGCACGAGCAGATAAGTTAGTCTCAGTCACAGAAATTACTCCAAATCCCACGCAGACTATGGCCAGAGAGGCACATTCCATGTTTCACCAAAATGCAAAGGGCCTCCATAGAGAATTTCAGATATCTATGGACGAGGCACGGGCAATAGTCAAAGCCTGTCCCATATGTAGTCATCATAATGGGGGCTGCGGGTTAGGTCTGGGAGTTAACCCAAGAGGGTTCAATACAAATGAGACCTGGCAAATGGATGTCACACATGTTGCTGAGTTTGGTAGGATGAAGTATGTGCATGTTACTATAGACACCTACAGTCATTTTATATGGGCTACAGCACAGACTGGTGAGAAAGTTGGGCAAGTGGAGAGGCATCTCAGCAGCTGCTTTGCTGTAATGGGAGTGCCACGGGGCATTAAGACAGATAACGGGCCTGCCTACTGCAGCAAAAGAATAAAGCAGTTTATGCAAATGTGGGGGATAGAACATGTGACAGGCATTCCCAGTTCCCTGACAGGGCAAGCAATCGTAGAAAGAGCTAATGGTACCTTGACAAGATATCTAGGTAAATACAAGGATATTAGAGAACTGCAAGAAAGACTGTTAAGGAGTTTATTTGTTTTAAATCACTTGTGTGTTTTTGGGGAAAGCAAGGTTCCTGCTGTAATTCGCCACTACGTACAGGAGAAAGAAAGTGTAAAGCAAGATGTATGGGTAAAATACAGAGATCCCAAAACAGGACAATGGCAAGGTCCTGCTAAGGTTTTGGGGCCAAGGATATCTTTGGATATCCTTGTGTCTCTACCCCTACAGGATCCTTATTGGGTACCTGCTAAATGGACCCGAGCAGCTGTGTTAGATGGAACCACCAGAACTCCATCAACTGAGCGAAGAAGACTGTCAGTGAGTAGAGACGAAGCTGTTGATCATCCTTCAACCAATACTTCTTAAGCTGAAAGGACAGTGTAGTTTGGCTATCAACCGAGCGATTGATCGGTGTAAATCCTTAGATTATATACTAAGCCTGCTTCAAGCGCTTTCTACATTTGAATTTAGAGGGCTTAGGAACCTAGCTTGTATTGATTGTCATAATAGACAGTGTGCTGCATGGGTATTGTTTTTTTGAGGGGGCTGTCAGCAAACTAAGTGGGTACATCAGACTCAATTACCTGACTTGTGGAGCAGGAACTGTGGATTTTATTGGCAGTTAGGCTCCTGGCAAGCAGAACTCCAGGCCTTTACAGGATTACCTGGCTACCAAGGGTTACAGTTGTATGAATCACCAGAACAGAAAATTATTGCATGGTTTAGGTGGGAAACCCAGCATTTAGTTAAACGTGCTTTGGGACAGTCCAAGTCGCATATTTTACAGACTAAGTGTGGTAGGGGCATTCCCCTTTTCACAGACAAGTATAATAGGTCCAATTTCTGCAGATCAAGATCTGAGAGACCTAAAGAGGTTAAATCTGAGCAGATCAAGGAGAAAGAAGGGGAAAGGAAAGAAGAGACATTCTTAATGACTTGTGGGAAACGATTATCTCCCAAATGTCTGGGTGGTTCAAATCAGCGCCTGGGGAGACCAGGCTGATGTGGCACATTTATGCTATTACGTTGCTAATCCTCACCCTCTTAGCAGACAGTGCAGATGCTGCCGGAGAAGTGAAAACTCATCATACATGGGCCCCACCTCAGCCTAAGACTAACATTTGGGTCACCCTGGCAAACTTAACTAACCAGGAGGCTATTTGCCTGTCATTATCTTCTCTTAGTAATCCATTTACAACTGGCTTGGTAGGGCTGCCAGCAGATCCCTGGCCATGTCCCTCAGGTGTACCCACCTGCAAAACTGACAATCCCAAGACAAGTGTAGATAATTGGGACCAATGGGTTTCTCACTTCCCCATAGCACCACAGGAACCCCAAGAATTGGAGCTGTTATGTTCAGTGATGGCAGATGCATGTATTAATTTTAACCACAGAAGCCAGCTTTCAGCAAAAAACTGTTCCACTACTGAAACTTCCAGCATGGCTGTGTATCGTAATGCAACATCTTGGTGCAATTATACCACAAGGAAAGTGTCAATCTCATCAAATGACCCTATCCAATTGCCAGCAGGTTACTTCTTAATCTGTGGAAACTGTGCTTGGCCTGGTGTCCCATCGATGCTGCACGGGGGGCCATGTACAATTGGACAGCTGTCTCTGCTTACACCCAATATGTCCATGATATTAAACATGAGCCACTGCCGCGATCGACATAAGAGAATGATCCATGCATTTACTGCTGACTGTAGGGACAATGTAAAATTTTGGTCCCCAGGGGCCATAATTGCAGCATCCTTTCTGACTCCAGGGGTGGCAGCTGCAGGTGCCCATGGTGCCCTAAATAAGTTGGGATGCTGGCTTGCAAAGCAAACCAATGCCACCTCTTTGGCACTTTCTAGCCTTTTGCTTAATGTTGATTCTATTCGTCATGCAACGCTTCAAAATAGAGCTGTGATTGACTTTCTTTTACTTGCACAAGGCCATGGCTGTGAAGAATTTGAGGGCATGTGTTGCATTAATCTTTCTGACCATTCGCAGTCCATCCATGCCCAGCTCGCTGAATTGCGAAGGTTAACTGGTATCTTACAGGTAGAATCAGGTTTCGGTATTGATGGATGGCTCTCATCGTTAGGCCTGGGATCATGGTTACGTTCTGTTGTTAAAGTTAGCATTATACTGGGCATCATAGCTCTGTTAGTAGTGTTAATTTTGCCGTGTTTTTGCATGTGCTTACAGAACATGGGTGCAAAGGATGATATCTGCTGCATTTAATCAGACTTTGCTTGTCCAACAGAAAAATGGGGGAAGTGTGGAGAGCTTTGTGGACAGTTGGTTAGCTGAGAAAGGTCACGTCGACATAATGCCGCTAGTTAAGCTTGAAGGGGACAAGCATAGAAGCCAGTAGTCAGTGTCCAATGACAGGCAAGGACATTGTGCCCTTGGTGCAACAGCAGGATAGGGGAGAGCATCTTTGGCAGAAATATGAAGAAAAGTTTCAATAAAATATCCACAAGAATGCAGAAGTAGGCGTAGTTGGCTGATAAGTAACTAGCCAATAACGAGGTCACCTTTGCAATATGTATGAGCCTAATTAACACCGACATAAAGATGTGTGCCTATCAATAAAGATTTGAGATTTGCTGATCACTCATATTGCGTGCCGCATTTCTCCCACTGGTCCCAACACAGGCAGACACACCCACACATGTCCAACACCCACTGGGGTCACCTGGGCACAGCAGGAGATCAGGTGGGTCAGGCAGTACCGTCCTTTCCCAAGCCCTGGCTGTTCCCAATGCCCTGGTTTTCCTGTCCATGCCACGGGTTTCCCCCAAGGAATCTGTTCCAGGGCTGTCCCAGCACCAAGGCTTGGAGTTTGCTGGATCCTTCTGGCCCTGGTCTCAGTGGCTCCTAGTCACCTCCAGCATGGTTTCAGTCATTCCCTGTATGATCCTAGTCACTCCCACTATGATAACAGCATGATCTCAGGATGGTCCCAGTTGCTCCCATTTATGCCCAGTATGATTCCCCTTTCTCCCTGTTCTCCAGAATGATTCCAGTTGTTCCCTGTATGATCCTAGTTACCCCAGTTGTGATCCCAGTTGCACCCAGCATGGTCCCAGTAGCTCCTAGTGCCTCCCTGTAATCAGTGGGGGTCAGTTGAGGGTTGCAGCTGTCCATAAAATCCATCTGGGGGAAAAGGACACACAAGTGATGTGGGGGGATATGGAGGGACATGGAGGCATTGTCCTGCTGTCACCAAAACTGCAAGAAATATAAAAACTCTCCAACAATGTTTCTACTTTAAGAGAATTAAGGCATTACTTTATTCTCGCCAGGATGTTGTTCTGGCCAGAATGTGCAACAGAGATAATTTAATCCACACATTGCCTGTGTTGTGCAGAGAAAACCATTCCGTCACACATGGTTCTTTACTAGATTTTTCACATACTTACACAGTCAGAACCCAGAAAAATGCATTGGTTCAATGTTCATTGGCCACAAGTTACACAGTTTGTACCTGGTTTCCTATTGGTTATTGATCCCTTTGCCTCCAATGCTAATTAGGTCCTCATTCTTAGTTCTCTTATTGATCTTTTCTCAGACCAAGTGTCCCTGACACACCAAGAAGGAAGTTCAGGTGTTGACAGTCACTTCTCTCTTGAGCATGCTCTGGCAACTCCCAGTCCACTGAGATGTCAAGCTCATCAGGCCTTGCCTGGGGAACAGAGTCTCTTGAAAAGAAACCTCCATTCCTTTTTCCCTAAGCAAAGATGAACAAAACCCCTGACTAAAGTTAGTTAAAAATTCTAGGAGTTGCACCATTTCTAACACTGCCCCTCCCCATGGACACAGTGCCCTCATTGCTACCCTGTGTCCCCATGTCCCTCCCTCATGTACACACATGCTCCCAGGGTCCCTCATGTGTGCCTCATGTCCCACCTGTCCCCTCACGTATCCCACAATGTCCTCATGTCTCCCTTGTGTCCCCCATGTTCCCACCCTGTTATATGTAGTGAAGATAATTCATGCTATAGAAATAGATATATGTAGGTATGAAATATTAGTAAAGTTTGACTCTATGCTTGTGAAACCACCCTGTCCAGGAACAGAAGTTATTCACATTATAACTGGTTCCCAGACAGAGTTAAGATAAAATCAAACCCTGTTCTCATATGAACAGGGTAGCCCTGAGCCACAGGTGCCTGCAATTGTCTTTGTCAGGGCTAGAGGTATTCACATGTTAACCAGTTCCTGGACAGGCTCTGGGACTGCTGGACCCATTATCAGATGTAGGAGACAAGCTGGAGCCATCTGAAAGGATTTCCTCTGCACCTGGAAGATATCATCTGGGAATTTCCTGGGTGATAATCAGCTGGACATCTCAGGAAGCCCACTAGGTCCTGCACCTGGACTTGATGGAATCTGTATTACTCAAGAGATGGCATCACCTACTACATGTGAATAGCTCTTGTCTAGGTTTTGGACACTTTCTTTGTCTGCTTTTACACATGTATGGACCCAACTTTACATGCCAAGAGAGAAAAAGACTTATGTGGTCATCTCTGCTTCAGGCAGAATAAATTGTATATAAGCAGGCTGGTGGAAGCACTCTGGGTGTACCTTAGGGGAAACGCTGTCTCTCTGTCAGCAGGAGCCCAGGGTCAGCCACCGGCTGCTCCCGGGGCTGACGCTGACTTGGCTGTGGGATTGCAAAATTTTCTATTTTTTGCTGATTGACTTAATAAATCTTTGTCAATTTTTTTTTAAAATAATTTGGCTACAGATTTGATAATTTATAACATACCCTATCCCCCATACCCCAATGTCTGTGCTCTGTGGAAGGAGGTGCCTGGACTCTTCCTGGCCAGCTGGGACATCACTCTAGTGGCACCATGTTCCTCTGAGAGATAAAAAATAGAGAGGGGAAAGACCCTGAATACAGGGGAGGACCCCAAAAGTGTGGCAAACAGGACGGGGCAAGAGCATCTTTCCTCCACTTAATTTTTGGGACCCTGCCAATGAGACAGGGGACACTATACCCCTTCATGGAATGAGTCCCCACCCAGGGATTTGGGCCCCTCTGTATGAGACTGGGATTCCACCCTCCCCCATTAATGTCCTTGAGACCTTCCCCATGGGATTGGGATACACAATCCCCCCTCGATGGGACTGGGGGACCCATCATTGGACTGGACATCCCCCTCCCCACAAGACTGAGACAACCCCCTTGTAAGTGGGACAACCCCCCATGTGATTGGGCACAGAGCTGCATCATCAGCCCCTGCTCCCCCTTCACCAGGGCCTCTCTGGAGCTGATGGTGGCACTAAGCAAGGGGGTCATAAAGCCCGCCTGTGAGGGCAGGGAGCCACAGGGGGCCAAGGCCCTATTTGGGGCAGCTTCAGGGCTGGACGCCCAAAGAAAGACCCCAGCTCTGGGAATCTGCTGACAGAGGAATGGAGAAGAATGCTTTGGCAATGTGTATGGTGACACCCTTTTGCTGCCTTGGACTCCAGCTCATACTGAAGTTCCAACATGTCCAGCATGGCAGCACTCAGTCAGGGTCATGGCAGTCCACTGTCAGTGTCCACTCTCCACAGGACTCAGGCAGGGGCCGTGTGGGGCTACTGGGGGGTGAGCGAGTCTTGCTGAGCACGCCCAGCTCTCCAGTTCACGGATCAGCTCATGGATGGGGTCCTGAAGTCCCAGTTGGTGCCATGTTGCCAATGGGACACTGTTGTGCTGGCCATCAGTACCTGCTGTTCTTCATCCCTCAGCAGTCCCACAGCAGAAGGGTCCTCTGAAAGACCAAGCAAGGGATTCAGCTGTCTGAATTTCTTCTGTCTCCACAGCAGCTCTCCCAAAGCTCAGTGGTGTCCTTTTGGGTCTTTGAAATGCCTCTCCTGAGGTGATCTGTGCCAAGGATACATGGAGCCTCTAGGCCAGCGACAATGGCGTTTTTCTGTCACTCGTGCCCAGTCAGGAGCACTTCAGCTTCCAGCATAGTCCCTGTTGGGATCCCCCTGTCATCCCAGAAACAGAGATGGATTCTGCCCCTGCATGATGGCATCAGGGTGCATTGTGCACCCATGTCAGCTAAAGCCTTGTGCTCCTGTAGCTCTGCTGTGCCAGGCCATGGATCTACACAGTCCAACTGACCCCACTGTCCTTTTCCCACACCTGGCTGGAGCCAGAGCCCCTCTAGCTCTGATCATGGTACTTGTTGCTCACTTCTTGTAAATATGACCTGGAGATCCCTTCCAGAGGGTCAGAAGTAACATCAGCCCTTCAATTCTGCCTGAGGACTTGTCCAGTGGCAACTGAGTGGCATTTTTCCTTGAAGAGTTTTCTGCCTGTGAGACCACTTTGAGACTTCTATGAGAGTGACCCTTGTGACATCCCTGTGAGACCCTCATGATACCTCTTTGAGAGACCCTTGTGTGAGAGACCTCAGGTGTCCTCCAGGTAGCCCCCAGGACTCACCAGAGGGCATAAGCTCTCAGGAAGGACAGGTAGAAGTAGCGTAGCCATTGTCACTCAAGGACAATGGTGACAGTGATGGCGATGGCATTGCATAACCAGCTGAAGGCCCTGAAGTGCAGCATAGTGAGCCTGCGCCCAGCAGGTGACTTGTAGGGGTGCGTCACTCGACCAGGGTCAAAATACTGCCTCTCCCCCCAAAGATAAACCCCACAAAGCCAAACACCATCACAATACCCCATACCCCTCCAAATGCCTCCTATATTCCCCAAATACAGCTAGGCACATGGGTCTCACCTGAACCTCACAATTATAAAGCACCTTATGTTGGTCAGAGAACTGCCCCTGCATCCCAAAATAGCCCTCCAAATACCCACAAACCCTCCCTAAACCGCACAAATACAAGTGGGTGTAGGAGTCTCACCTGGGCCTTGTAGGGGGCGATGCTGTACAGGGTCATGTACATGGAGAGCTGGATGGAGCTCCCCAGTCTGATGTGGCCCCTGAAAGCACCAACCCTGTGGGTGCCCCATAGAGAACCCCAAAACTACTCCACACCTCCCCCCCCAAATGCTCTATAGGGACCCCTGACTGTCCCATAGTGACTCACAGCTGCCCCTGTGCCCCCCAGCCACCTCCCCATATCCTCCGTAGTACCTGTGATGGAAAACCCCTTGCCCAGCAGGATGAGCATGAGGAAAATGAGGAAGCTGATAGGGTGGGGGGAGCAGCTGGCATGGGGATATGGGGAGGGCTGGGTACCCCCCTTCATCACGCCCCCCACACGAGGGGCTGTGCCCCCCCACACCTCCTGTACTCCCCCAAGCCCCTCATTACCTCCCATGACTTCAAAGCGCCCTTGTGCTCCCCCATATCCCCTACACTTTGCTGTGAAAGCTCTCCCAAATGCACCCAGAAGCCCCAGCCCTTTCAAATCTCAATATGCCCCTCGGACCCCGACACCTCCCAGTTTCTGAAGATCCCCCAAATCCCAATATAACTTCCCCAGGCCCCAATGCTCTCCAGTCCCCACAGCTGCTGCTGGCTCCCACAGACCTGCCCATAGCTCCACTTGTTCCCCCTTCACACTCCATGCTGGCAGCCACTATGAGCATCTTGCAGGTGGTGTGGAGCAGCTGCCATCCCTAGACCAGGTCTGGGGCGACTATGGGGGGTGAGCACCAGATCTGTCAAAACACTGCCTCCCCCAGGCCCCCCTGAAGCTCAGATTTCCCCCCAGCTGCTCACTGATGAATAACATGAGCGTGATGATGAAGACGAGGAGGAAGGTGGGGGGAGGGGTGAGAAGGGGTTCACCCCATGAAGCCCCCCAAAACCCACCAGACTATCCACAGTCGCCCCCTGCATTGCAGCCCCAGCATCATTCCCCTTTGTACTCCAACCCCTTCAGCTTCCTCAGATCTCAATAACCTCCAATATATTCCCCATACTGATGCACTCCAATCCTTCCAACCCCTCAAACCCCTAAACAATCCTCCAGATCCTCATATACTTCCCCAATCCCTGCAGCCCCCCAGACCACCATAACTCCCTATACAGCCGCAGACCCTGATATACAGCAATCCCTTCAGCCCCTCCAGACCCCCTAGACCCCAATAAGCCTCCTCAAACCCCCGTAACCCCCAATATACCCCGCGATCTCGATGCACGCCAGTCGTCCTCGCAATGTCTTTCCCCCGGCCGCGGCAGCACCGAACTCATTGGCCGAGAGGTGCCGCGTCCGGAAGGAATCCCCTTTGGTCGGCACCATCTCGTACTCCAGCTCCAGCCCATCGCCCTGGGGGGAAGATGGGGGGTACTCGCCCCACATTTGCTGAGGGCTACGCATCACCAGCTGCGGCCGCTGCACAGCACAGTCCCTGCAGCCCCCCCGCACACCCCCATAATTCCCCCGTGCACCCCAGTCCCTGCAGCCCCCAAATCCCCCGAGCCGGTTTATAATCCCCCAGACCCAAATATGCCCCCTCATCCTGATGGACCCCCACTCTCCAGGCCCCCCACACTCCCGACAGGGCCCGCCTCGATGCTGCACGGACCACGCCCCCAAGTCAGGCCACGCCCCCGAGTCAGGCCACGCTTCCTACGCAGCACCTGGACAGCGCGTCTGTGCCCGGTGGTACTGGGCAGTACAAGCCAGTACGGCGCCGTACGGCCCAGCAGCACCCCGTACACTCCAGTGTAACTCAGCACAACCCATCACAGCTCAGTATAGACCAATATAGTCCAGTACAGCCCAGTATAAGAGAGCATAACCCAGTACAGCCCAGTATTTTCCCCGAAGGAACCAAAACCAGGTGGTTCAGTCTGAGGAAGGGGAAGAGGAACAAAGAGAAGCATGTGGCAGCAGGGGAACGGCACGGGATGGGGGTGGGGGATAGGGAGGGGAAGAGGCTTGGGTGTCCCAGGGATTCCCCCCAGACTCTGGGAGTCTGCACCAGGGGGGCGACCCAGCTGTGTGGCCTGGTACCCCTTGCCAGCCCCCCGGGGACCCTTAAATCCGTCCAGGCAGGGGCCTCCCCCACCCACGTCACAGGGAGGTGGGTGGGGCAGTGGTGACAAAAAGTGATACCCCAAACTTCCTGTTTCTAACCCCAAAATCACCCAAAGCAGAGGCAGTGGCACGGTGGGAACTTGATGGGGAGCAGGGGGTCCCCAAAATCCCTCTGGGACTGGGGGGCAAGGGGTCCTTGGGTTGTGTGGAGGTTCTTTGGTCCTGGGGGAGGCCCCTGGGCCGTGATGGGGGTCCCTGGGGTGTGTCTGCCTGGGCTGTGGATGGAAGGGGTCTCTGGGCCCTGAAGGAAATCCCTGGAGTGTGTGTGTGAGGCCCTGGGGTGTGGACAAGGAGTCCTTGCACGCAGAGTGGGGATCCTGGTATTCTGGTGGGGTGTGGATGAGGGTTCTCTGGGCCCTGAGTAGGGTCTTTGGGATGGTGGTGAGGTCCCTGGGTTGCAAGGGGGATCCCTAGCGTGGTGGGGATCCCTGAGCCCAAGGTGTAGTCCCTGGGCCTCGAAGGGGGTCTCTATGGTACCAAGCCTCATCCTACTCTCTCTCTCTCCTACTGCATCCAGGATCTCCCCAGGGTGAGTCAGGATGTGCACTCCACTGCTGGTGACACTGGTGACACTGGTGATGGTGCCTGCAGGGGTCTTTCCCTATGGCTTCCACAACTGCATCCAGGCACCATGGGACCCTGGGCTGTTCCGCTGCATCCAGCGCTTCCTGAGCACTGTGGGGGCTGCAGTGGACGACCTTCCCTCCACTGCTACATCCCTCAACCTCTCTGTCAACATCTTGCGCCAGGTGCCCCCCAGTGCCTTTGCCCACCTGCCGCGGCTCTGCATCCTTGATCTGACCCACAACCAGCTGGAACTCCTGGCCCCAGGGGCTTTCTCGGGGCTGTCAGCACTGGCTCACCTAAACCTGGCCCACAACAACATCTCAGTGCTGGCCACAGGTGTGTTTACCGGGCTGGGCAACCTGAGCACACTGCGGCTGGACCACAATCCGCTACAGAAGGTGGCCCCCAGGGCTTTCCAGGCTCTGGCTGCACTCAGCACACTCTGGCTGCGGGGTGGCCGGCTCAGTGCACTGGAGACTGTGGCCATGGCTGTGGGGAATCTGACACACCTAGACCTGCTCGACCTGTGTGGCAACATGCTGTCCACACTGGGCCCGGGGCTGCCGCCCACACTGAGGGTCCTGTACCTCTGCAACAACTCCCTGGGAGCTCTTTCAGGGGCCACCTCTGCGGTGATACCCCCAGGGCTGCGTGTGCTCGACCTGTCCTACAACAACATCTCAGACCCTGCACTGCTCTCTCACCTGTGCCTGAACAACCTGACACACCTGCACCTGGCTGGGAACCCGCTGGACGTAGTACAGCTGCTGCGCGTGGCTGGAATCTCCCCGCGTCAGGTGGACGTGTCAGGGCTACAGGTGAACACAAGCGGCCTGGAATACCTGTGCAAGCAGCTGAGAGGACAGAGGCTGCAGAGGCTGCAGCTGCAGCACATGAACCTTACATCAATGCCCAAAAGGGCTCTGGCCGAGTGTCCGGTGCTGGGTGCCCTGGATGTGTCTGGCAACCGGCTGCGGCATTTGGGCTGCATAGGGCAGCTGCTGAACCCGAAGCAGCATGCAGCACTGCGTGAGCTGGTGGCTGAGCACAACTTGCTGCAGCGACTGCCATCGTGCAAAGGGACCCCAGTTCTGAAGCAGCTGCACAATGTGTCCCTGCGCTTCAACCGCATCTTAGTGGCCGGTGCGGGTGCTTTTGACAATGCACCAGCACTGCGGCAGCTGCGGCTGGATGTGAACGGGCTGGCACGGCTGCACCGCGCAGCGCTGCGTGGACTCCGCAACCTGAGGCACCTGCGCCTTGACAACAACCTGCTCACTGACCTCCTGCCCGGCTCCTTTGCTGACCTGCACCAGTTGGAAGACCTCAACCTGCGCAACAACCGTGTGGCCGTGCTCTTCCCTGGCGCCTTCAAGGGGCTTGACCGCCTGCAGACCCTTGACCTGGGCGGGAACAACTTGCGGCACTTGGCAGCCAAGGCATTTCAGGGCCTCCCGCGGCTTTGCCGGCTTTACCTGGACCGCAACCGGCTGCTGGAGGTGAGGGTGGCCGCATTCCAGCCGGTGCAGGTGACACTGGGCGTGCTGGACCTGCGTGCCAATGGGCTGCGCTACCTGAGCCGACACCTGCGGCAGCTGCCACCTTTCCGCTACCTACATAACCTCTATGACCTGAAGCTGCAGGCACAGCAGCCATATGGGATGCGTGTGGTCCCACAACGCTTCTTCCAGGGCCTCAGTGCCTTGCGCTCACTCTACCTGTCACAGAACTCGCTCTCGGCCATCCCTGCTGATGCCTTCGATGACCTGGCACAGCTGCAGTACCTGACACTGGCTGACAGCAGTGGCGGGATGGGCCACCTGCCTGCCGGCATCTTCAAGAACCTGAGCCAACTGCGCAGCCTGAACCTGGAGAGCGCAGGACTGCGCAGCCTTGGCCCTGAGGTCTTCGGAAATCTGACACAACTGAAGGAGCTGCGCCTGGCCAAGAACGGGCTGCGTACATTGGATGTGACTCTGGCCACCCGCCTCCCCGCCCTGCGCTATCTGGACCTGCGCAAGTGCCCACTGAGTTGCAGCTGTGCCAATGCCTGGCTGCCTGCCTGGCTGGCACGTGGGCCTGTGCAGGTAGTCTATCTGTATAACTACACGTGTGGTGAGGTGGGTGGGGCCTCCGCATACCTGCACTGCTTTGACACGTGTGTGTGCTACCTGGACATGGGGCGGTACCTGTTTGCAGGGACAGCACCGGCTGTGCTGCTGCTGCTGGTGCTGCCGCTGCTGCACCACCGTGGGTACTGGCGGTTGCGCTACCAGCTGTTCCTGCTGCGTGCCTGGGCACGTGGGCACTGGCGGCGGGAGCAGCGGCGCTACACCTATGACACCTTCGTGTCCTACAACTCTGGGGATGAGCGGTGGGTGCTGGAGGAGTTGGTGCCTGAGCTGGAGCGCGGAGCCCTGCGGCTCTGCCTGCACCACCGTGACTTTCGCCCTGGCCGCGCCATAGTGGACAACATCGTGGACGCTGTGTACAACAGCCGGCACACGGTGTGTGTGGTGAGCCGTGGGTACCTGCGCAGCGAGTGGTGCTCGCTGGAGATCCAGATGGCCAGCTATCGCCTCTTCGACGAGCTGCGCGATGTCCTTGTCCTCATCTTCCTTGAGGACATCCCCGAGGCCGAGCTCTCGGCCTTCCATCGCATGCGACGTGTGCTGCTGCGGCGCACACACCTGCGCTGGCCCTCTGAGCCCCCTGCACAGCCCCTCTTCTGGGCAAAGCTCAGGTGTGCCCTGAGTGGGGGGGAAGAGGAGGAGGAGAGGGAGAGGGGGGGCAGGGAGGGAAGCCCTGGCACATCTGGGACCCCCGGGGAAGTTCTCCCTCAGGAAAGAAACGTTCTGCCCCAGAATCACTGCTTTTTATCTGGGGAAGGTGTCCTGTGGAGTGGGGCTGATGGCAGCAAGGAGGAAGAGGAGAATGAGGAGAGGAAGATGGAGGACAGGGAGGGAGGCTGCCCTGACAGAACTGAGACCGCTGTGGAGGTCTCCCCTCAGAAAAGCAGTTTTCTGCCCCAGAATCACCGGCTTTTCTCTTGGGAATATGTTCTGCACAGTGGGGATGAAGGTAACAAGAAGGAGGAGGAGGAAGAGGAGGAGGAGGCAGAGGAGGAGGAGAAAGGTTGCTGGGAGAGAGAGAAGCTACTCTAGAGCAACTTATCCTGGTGTAATGGGGATCCCCAGGGACATTCCCAATCAAAAACATGTGGTTTTGTCTCAAAATCCCTGGTTATCTCTCGGATAGATGGTTGTTAATTGCTGCCCCAAGATATGCAGGATGTCTCTGTTTCGGCCCGCACGGCTTAAGAACGAGTCTGAACTCTTCAGTATTTGGTCTTCAAGTTGTTTATTAATTCTTATCTATAAAATTTTCTTTCTGCCCAGCCAAGGTCTGCTCAGCAAGGCAGCCAAAGGCACTCTGACTGCCCCTGAGGCGGTGTTGTCTTTCTATACTACGAACTACGTATAAGATATTTACACTTAATTCCCAATACCTATCACCTATGTTAGACAGTGCACTCTAAACCAATCCCAAAGTGCCAGCATCACAGCAGAAAATGGAGAACAAGAAGAAAGGCTAGACACACCCAAGTTCGTCCATCTTGTCCCCATAACCCCCATACCAAAAATCCTAAAATCTACATTTTCACCCTGTGATAATATTATTATTATTATACTATTCAAACCTCTGTGACTTTCAGGTTTTCATACAAAGCTGGTAACTTGCTCCAGGGGTCATAATCAAATCCCCAGGTGTTCTGGGCTGTGTGCCAGGGTCTCCGAGCCCCCCGCTGGGGTCCTCAGCAACTCGGGACACCCGGAGGGACGTACTGAGTTCCGACAGTTATCCTCTGAGAAATGTGCAGTTGGGATGACAGTAATGAGGAAAAGGAGAAGGTGGAGGAGGAAAAGAGGGAAGCAAGATGGACGTCAATATTCAGACGCAGCAAATGCTTCATCATTCAGTTCCTTTTCCCAGCACGTGGGAGATGCAGCTCTTGCACATCTGAGTCACCCTGGGCACAGGCTGCTGCAGCTCAATCTGCTGCTGGGTCATCCTGGGCACACACTGCTGCAGCTGCTTCTGCCCCCAGCGACACCCCCATGGCTGGGAAATTCCAGCGGCCTACAGGAGGCACCCACCAATCCATCCCACCACACACTGTCCTGACCCCCAAGTCAGCAACTCCCAAGCCCCAGGCAGGTCCCTGCATTGCTCCCACCTGATCCTCACCAGCAGCAGGATGTACTTGGCTTGGCTGGCAAACCAGAGCATGCTACAGGTGTTTGGGCTGCGATCACTGGGTTGTGCTGCCCAGGGAAGCCCTTTCGCAAGAGCATCAGCTGCTCTTCCAGAGCAGGATGTGGCTCTGCCTGCTCTGTCCCGAGAGACCGAAGCTCTGCTCAGCTTATCGGCCCTGGGGTGCTCGGGGAGGTGCCTCCCAGGCCCGACCCCAGACAGCCAGAGCTCAGCAGTGCCAGGCCGGGAACAGCCTTCCCTTACCTCTGGCCAGTGGGCACATGATGCTGTCAAGGGCCAGCAGTGAGCAATTGATGCTGGTCCCTCCCACAGCCCCTCTCTGCAGTCCTTGGTGACCTAGGCTCACCCCAAGTCCGCCGGGTCAGTCAGGCTCACCTTGGCCACACACAGGTTCCCAGCAAAGCCAAGAGTGGGGTCGGTTCCACTGCTTCACCAGGATCTGCGAGGACAAAGATGGCTGAAGCCATGGCTACACACACCCCTGGGGAGGTTGGTTGGAGCAACTAGCACCAGCGGGACCAGGGCTCCGTGTTTCCCATGGAATGGGTCAGTGGATCACACTGGAAGATGGGGCAGGAGTAGGAGAGGAACCTGGCATGCTGTGAGGATGAGTCAAACACTTGGACATGACACAAGGAGCAAAGCCAGGGAAAAGATCTGGAAGGAAGGGACAGAGTCATGGAAAAGAATCAGCAACCCCCATGTTTAGTGGTGGAGGATGGTACAGCTGGTTGGGTTTCCAAGGCTCTGGAAAAGCATCCAGACACCTGATTTACTCCCCTACAAGTAGCTATGGATGAGGCACTAGAAACAGGCTGAAGTGATAGCCAGAGCCTCCATCTGCCCCGGCAAATGTAACAGCCCTGCAAATTCAGGAAAGTACATGGCTGGAATTTAAATCTACTTGGCAAGTTTGCATCAAGAAACTGCGGAGCACTTTGACAGTCAGAGTCCTGGGGTATGTAATTCCCAACTCGGTGCTGAGTGGGACAGCCCTGGGATGTTATCTCAGCAACTTCCTAGCTTCATTTCCAGCACTGATTGGAGCAATACCACAGCCAGCAGCACTCACCTGGAAGATGGCATGGGAGTGGAAGGAGGCGGCGTTGGTCTTGGTGTGATGCTGCGCTGGTTTCTATTGCCCTTGGCCAATATCTCGAGGATCTGCTCTGGTGATGTGGGCTGGGACAGAACGGACACAGAGATCAGCACCCCCGATGCGGCACCTAGACACCCCAGTATCAGCAGCCCCAGGCACCTCAGGCTGAGGCATCCTGCAGCTCTGCAGGCTCTGTGACAACTTGGGGTAACATCTGCTGCCAGCCAGGAGTTGTGCAGGTGGCACCCTGGGATCTTCATACCCCCTGTGTCCTCAGGACAGGAGAGAGAGGGGGGGAGGGGAAGAGGAGGGAAGGGGAGCTTCTTGCAGCAGCCCCTGTGCCAGGAGTCACTCCCAGGCTGGGCTGGGATGAGGCAAAGCTTATCACCCTCCCTGCTCCCCTTTAGGGCAGTTTTTCTCCCTGTTTCAGCCTCTTCAATGCAGCAGAGACAAAGGAGTTGCCAAACCAGCACTGCTATGATGTGGAGTTTACCCTTGAATCTTCCCCGAACAAGCTTATAGCCCCATTCTCATGTCACTCCCCATGAGGTATTTCTGCTTTCAGAGCTTCTCATTCCTCTTGTTTGCATCCATCTTCCCACACCCCTTTGAAATCTCCCCACTGGCATGGCCATTCTAGTTTCAGCCAGGGCAGAGTTGCTAAAATAGAGTTGTTGTTTTTTTTTTTTTTTTGCAGTAGCTGAGGGGTGTTGCTGTGGGCATTTCTAGGAGGTTATTCAATACCATCTTATTTGCCAGGGGTAAGGGAAAAGGACTCTTTCTCCCGCATCTGAGAGGAAGGGGTTCCTTCTTTGAGGAGAAACAGTCGGCATTATTACAGACTTTCTGTGTAGATTCTTTGTCTTATTATGGTCTCTTAATGAGCTGTTGTCATTAATATAGTTTCTGTCACTGTTTTCTTATTTCATTTACTGTTTCCAGTAAATTGTTCTTGTGTTAAACTGTGATCTTTGTCTTTTGTGCTTCCAGCTGGAGGGGTCAGGGAAGCAAGAGTCAGTGTGGTTTCAGTATAAGCATTAAAGTATGGAATACTGTTCTTAAAACATGACAGCCTCAATTGCTGCCCAATGTGAGGCACAAAGGGTCGAGATAACAACAGATCTGTCTAGAGCTGTTTGAAAACAAATGTGATCTAAGCCTTTGTTGTATTATGTGCAGACCAATGTTTCTTGGTCTGTTCATGTGGGTGTGGTACCTAACCCTGTATGCCCTGTATGTATTGCCATATGTTCTTTTTCAGAGCAGGGAGAGAGGGATCAGGATTGCTTTGTTGCTGTACTCTGGGATATCAGTTTATGACATGGTAACATCAAGGGCAATGAGGGTCATTTGGGATATGTATTCAGTGCTTCTCTCCTGCCCTTGCCTAGAGTGGAGTCCATTAATAATAGTTCCCAGCCTGTTCTTGTTGCTGTGTCTGCCAGGCCTCCTCAATGTGGTC